ATATAAAACTTATATTTTTAATTATTTTAAAAATTTGTTCACATTACCAGGTGCGAAATTTGACATTTCGGAGTTGAATCTGATCGCATAATTTTGATCGAACTTGAGTAAGTACTTAAGACTCTGAAACAAGCAGTCTATTTCGCATTTCATGGACAGAACCGATCGGCGGAAGAAGTAATAAAAATGTGGCAATCATGTAAAATTTTTAAATTTGGCAACTATGCTTTCGTCAGGAAATCCTAAACTGTCACTTTAATTCGCGTTTCATTTGTAATTCTGCACGATGACAATTGCGATGAAGGCAATCGGAAAGAGAATGAGAATGTGCACTACTCAATGAGAATATATCGTTTTGACTTTGTATAAAATTTTAGCAAAGTATGTTAAAATAAGTCATTAAATTGTTGATAAAGATTGTAAAGAAATTCCGTAGTACACTGCAGAATCCATGTGACAGTAAGAAGCATAAACACGGGATGTAGAGAACTATGGTTAGTCCTAGAAGAAATAAGGCTGCTACCTTATGTCAAACAAAACGATGATCAGCAGAAAAGACCGAATGGACAATTCAATGCGAGCTCTCGAACAAATTGGACGAATCGTAACTTCGAATATACGTTAATCATAACATCTATCTTACAAAATCATTCTACAAAACTATTTTATATTTATTTTATGTCAATTCTCACACAATGAATGCCAGATTATTGTGTTCGCTTGACTGTAACAGATATCCTTACTGTTTTAACGTGAAATTCCTTAATAAATGTTTCTTTCCAAAGAAAATTTCACTATAATAAGTGATTGGAATGAAATTCAAGTGATTAAACTTTAATTTTTATTTTTTATGCTCCATAAGAATATCGACAAAAATATTAGAGTTCTATCACTTTCACTTTGAAATATTGTAAAATGACCTGAAAAAAATTCTTTCCACTTTCAATGACTGTCTTAAAATAGTGTAACTTTATCTTTTCTTATATTTTTTTCTTCTTAAAAACAAAAACAGCAGATGTATTTTCATTTAAAAGTCGCATTCTGTATAAAATTTGAAGCATTTCAAGAAATATTAATTTCTTTTCGATATTCGATGCTCTAATTATATTATTTTTTATTCAGAATAGCACGTAGAAAAAAATTCAATCGTAGAAAAAAAATCATAGAGATCCATTAAAAACAATGCACTTTTGTGAAAAATTACACTACACGATGATAGAGCTTCATAAACAATGTCTACTGAATTCACATTTATTTATTACAATTATTGTACACATACATATGTGTGTGTTTGCTCGCAATAGTGTTGCCGGACTCAATTCAAGAAATAATTTTCCATGTGGAAACGGCAACACTGTCTATATCTTTTTATTTCTATCACCAATAGCGCTGTAATGCAAGCTGTACTTGCCTAACAAGTCGATATGACAGAATGTGACACGAAAATGGTTAGAGGGTCAGGTGATCTTAAAATGTGAGACACCAAAAAGCACTGTGCCGGTAGAATGTTCGGTCTATCCTATTAATCAATGATATCACTTTCATTAATAGATTTAGTTTTTGTAGATACCTAAAAATTGAGAATTTTTTTAAATGTCATTCTCTCAGATGTCAAATCAACGGTATCATTTGTAAGTACATAAATTATAATTTCTGCTTCGATAATAATAGAATGAATTTACTTGGCTTTCAATAAATAGAACTAGTTTACAAAAGTTACTTACATATACGTACATATCGTACGTACCTGTTGCATGTTACCTCCTCGCAACCACAACAAGACTTTTCTTGCTTCATCGGGTTTTTTCCGTCTTACAAGCCAGGTAGGACTTTCGGGAATCAGAATTAATGCAATTAATGCTATTACAGGAAGAATACTCCCACAGAAAGCTACGATGTTCCATGTAAAACAAGCGCCTAACGCATATATTATGAGAATACCAAGGCAATAAAAAGCAAGCGTGCCTCCTGTTAAAAATCCACGAAGTTTTGGATCAGCCATTTCACCCAGTATAACCTGATAAACATGATTTCAAGATTAATATCTCAAATTATAAAATAGTTAATTATCTATTAATTCTAAAATTTTAGATTAAGTGAAAATTATACGATTCATTTATATTATAAATTTATTGCAAATTACATACATTGTAAATTTACGACGAGAAATAATAACAATTATAATAATAACAAAATAAATTTAACGTTTATCTCGATACTAATTTAAATTTATTAATTAATTAAAATACAATTAATAATAAAATACAATTAATAATAAAATACAATTAATTGAATATTAATAGCGGTAGTGAAAGTAATTAACTTATTCAGCACATATTAATTCATTTATAAATTAAAAAGTCATCATTGAACTTAATTACTGATATATAAAGAATTTCCAAAAATATGTTAAAAAATCGATTATTAATTAATTAATTAAATCAAATATTACTTCTTACCTGAGCTGGTACTGCCATTGAGCCTACACTGAAACCTAATACAACTCTCCCTACCAACAAGCAAGGGATGTTTTTAGCAAAACCCATAATTAACCATCCAATACATAATGGTACTGCTGAAAATTGTAAAGATCCACGCCTACCAATCTCATCTAACAATGCACCGGATACTAAAGATCCAATAGGTGTTGCCAGACTATGGACTGAAGCTGAAATGCAAATAATAAACATATGTTTTAAAATGCAAAACAATGGTGTTTCATTCGAATTTTTGAAACATATTTTATATGGAATAAATAAATAAGACTACGTGATGAAATAATTGATCTGTGGATGCAGTATGTATAATTGACATGTACTTGTATATTAAAACATGTACTTGTATATTAAAACTCTACGCAAAATATTAACAATCCTAAAACACTCATAATCATTGCACTTGAGAAAAACGTTCAAAAATGTTTTTAACTGAAAATAATATCTTCCTCATTATGCTCATCTGATTTCTGATTAACTGTGATTTGTTTTCCTTTCCAAAGTTATAAATCTCGTTGTTGAAAGAACATTTTCAGATCATTGAAGAAAGAAAAAACATAATAAATGCTAACTATATCCGATTTCTAAAACTGTCTGTAATGGAAACTTGTAAAAGTGAAAAAGACATTGACAATAGCTGACTACTAACTTATTGTTAATTTATCGTTTAATTTAAAAAGACTACTAATTTTTCCTTAAAAAAACATATGTAAAATAATATTTGGTAAAAAAAGATTATGGCAATATACGTATTACTTTTTGCAATTCTTATAATTATTCCAAAGAAATTTATTAAACGTTTCATTTTAAAAAATATTCAATGTTTCTTTTTTTACATAAATAAAGTTTGTATAAGTAAATTTGTATCATTACATCCTAAAAAATCTTTCGATTGCATTATTCGCATGAAATATATTATATTTTTAACTAATGATTTTTAATTTTGCTTATACTCATTTATGTTTTTATCTAGATTCAAAATAAAATATAAATAACATTCATATTACTGTTCAAGTATTGGAAGTATATACTTCGGTATGTGCTGTATGTGCAGCATGTACTTACATATGTTAAAATGAAATTTCTTTTTGGAAATATATTCATAGCCTTTTTCATTGCAATAGAAGCCTAATCGTTCTTATAATATTCAAATTACTTAATATTTCTCGATTATTGTGTGAGGACATGTTAGGACACTTAAAAAACGCATTTAAATGACAAGGTTGATGGTTATACTTGATCTTCTCATTGATAAAAATTATTCGATCAAATGATATATAGGACAGAAAGCATGATATTGGAAGGAGTTTTCCTGACACATATAAATTCCAATGTCAAATCAAAGACCATAACTAACATTTCCTCTAAAAGCTATAACACTTATTTGGCTATTTACCTTAATATTCAAATCCTATTTACCCAGCTTAGCAAGAAAATCTCTTATCTAAACCAAAATTTCTCATGAACTATTCGTAGGAAGAGAATGAATCCGACATATTCGAACAACTGAATATGGCAGAAGAAGTGGAAATTAGTAACGATAAGAAATTGATAATTGACGCAAATAAGAAAATCTTCGAATATATTTAGAATCTTCTGAATAAAATTCATGCATGTGGGGAAAAAACTGTGCGCATCAATGCGTTGAGATACTCATAATGAACAATAAAGGCATCAAATGATAGACGTAAACGTCGAGATACCTTCTATTCGAGATATTAAAATAAACGACTCAAAGCATGCTGTTACCTTAGCAACATTAATAGAATCCAAGTAGACTTTCACAATCGTAACAAAGGAGTTTAATGCTAACACCGAGAAAAGATATTTCTCAATTACAAGAAAAAAGAAATTCCCCCACTGCTTCACCGAAATTTCCTGAAAGAAGAAAAATGAATAAATCATAAACTTTACGAAACAAAATAAACAGTAGAAGTAGAAATGATAACATTCAAGGTTCAAAACTCAATAAGCAATATATTCATTATAAAATAGTTTCCAATACTTGATTCTAAGATTCTAAGATTCCAACATTAAATTACCTAAGTATCCAAAATAAAGGATGAAGAAGATCAGAAAAGTAAAGTGAAATATCCCTAGTGAGTCATGACAAGCAAAAGCTTGATAAACTGAGAGTTATTGTCATTTTTCTATTATCACAACTATTATAAATAATGTACTTATAAAACTATTCTATATGAAACTTATAAAACTATTGTATATAAAACTATTATAAAACATGTACTTATAAAACTATTCTAAATAAGGCAAAATATCTCTTAAAAACTAAAATGAAAATATGCAGAAAAGATAACCCAAAAGAAAACTACAAGAGAAATCAAGTTACCAAAGAGATGCACTGAATACAAACATTCAAGATGATGAAAAATAATGTAATAATTAAAATAAGGATCCTTATACTATCTTGAAACAAAAGATAGAAATATTGGGTAAGTTGTCAAAATTGTACAATATAACAAACATATAATTAAACATCTTACAAAGGTGCAAAACTTCGCACAACGAATTAGTAAGAAGCTAAGAAATAAAGTTAAAAATCAACATTTTCCAAAAACTATTGTTAAAAATTATAGAGTGTTGTAGAATATATCACCAATTTAGCCACACAATAAAAAAATATAAAATAGAAACCTATTTTGCTGTGTCATAGAAAGATTGGTAGGATGGGAAAATTACCAGGAAAATAAGAACTATGTAGAAATGAAAATAGATAACTAACTGTAATCATCTAGGTGGAAATTCTCAAATAATGCCTGGTCAACTGTTCACGGTGAAATGATTAACATATATAAAACTTATAAGGAGGAGTTTTTAATATGTAACCAAAAATATAATGTTAAACAACATGTGTTTTCGATGTATAAGAAAAAGCTACTTGAATTGAAGCTACGTCTTGATAAACGTAAAAAATGTATAATAGTAATAAGAACACGAGAGAGAAGAATATCAAAAAAATTAGCATAAGTTATAATTTAAGTTATCATGAAAAAAATTTTGTAAACTGACAATTAGTTTAATCAAAATGTTCTAAAACTGAAAGAGAAGAAGCATTAAGAGAATAAAATAAATAGAAAGCTATATTCTTAAACTTGTAATTTTTCACACTCATTTGAAACTCAATTTGCTTAAAAATTTAAATTCGCAAATAATAAATTCAAGATGGTATCAAAATATTATTAAATATTATTAATAAGTTGATTTTCAAATATTTAGATACCTATCCAGGATCCAAGTTCTCGATCAACGTGCATCGTGCCATTTTCTTCAATTAATTGTGGTAGCAAAATGGCACTATAACCAATTGGCATTCCTCCACCGGCTGCTAACAATAATACTGCACCAGACACTAAACACTAAAACATAATATAATAACATAAATTTATGAATCTCTAATCTTCAACAATATATCATATTTTTAAGAGAATATAAAAATTATAAATATAAATGTTTTTAACGTATACAAATAATTATTTAATATATCTTGGTTTGTTTTATTAACATATTTGTTATGTTCTTTTTATAATAGTAGTATCTTTTTGAATTATCGTATACAATAATTTGTTTTAATTTAAATTAAAAAGACATGAAAACAAAAAGTTTAAATTAAAAAAACATAAAAGCAAAAAAAGAAAATACATAGATATTTCATTAACAATATGGTTTTTTTATTCTTACCTGTGCAAATATGCCTTTGGAATTCAACGAATAATGTATTACGTCATGTTTATCATCAAAATTCTGATTTTTATCTTCATTATTATTATTTTCAATATCTTCACAAACATTTTCAAGCCTTATTGTCTTTGCATGATCGACTGAATGGTATCCTAACATCGAATGAGATTCTTCCCTAAAATAACAAAATTTAAGGAAAAGAAAAGAAAGAAATCTTTTTAAACGTATTATAATTTTTATTATAACATATATATAATTATTAATGACATTGTTTTTAGCCCCCATTTTTAAATAATATAATTTCATATTTAAGGAATTATAATTAATATAACGTAGTGATCAATTAACTACATACATGACGAAAAAGTAAAAATTAAAATATTAATTCAGATTATTTCATTATCCGTTTTTATTAAAAATAGGAAATCTCTATATATTTTTATTCGTTTTCACAATTTATTAACTCGAAAAAAGACGCTAAAATTTAGTAGTATAAATAAATGTGTTGGATAGAATATAATAAATACTTTAAATAGAATATATGAAATGTAGTAAACGGTATATACAAATACATAAAAAAAAATAAAAAAAT